CCGGTACCTAGAAGAGGTAGTCCGTCTCAAATCGACTGACAATGACGAGGGCTCAGACTCCGACGAGTCGATGGAGATTGATTAATTATTCAGAGGTATTCAAACAACAAAGAACTAGTTAAGAGTTAGTCATGATGAGGGAATTTACTTTGTGGTGATATTATCGTCATATTTGCTGTTTTTTTTGCTTTACTGAAGAGTCGCCTGTTTTCATACGTATGTTTTCAGTAGTTTATAATCACCTTAAAATCAGAGTTGTTGTGTTATTTGTTACCTTAGAATGAGTTCTTATCTGTTTTGTGGTATTGCAGTCCTGAGGCTATGAATAGAGAGATACCGAGTTGCACCGTGTTTGAGACGCCGCTCTAACACGCTTTTCTGTCTTAAAAAACATTTACTGGACATGACGTGATGATGTGATGTCACATGCGGTTGTGGCGGAGGCTTACCATCACCTGCAGTTTTCTAGTATTTACTTCATTTGTTATTACAGTTAATACATGCATACATACTTAATAGTATCCAGAGTGTGACTTTTGCTGTTTTTGCATTTCCTGTCATTGATTTTTAGCTCTTTCTAAACGCGGTTTGTAACAGTAAGGATTGAGGTTAGCTTTTGTTTTTAATGTTGATGTTATTTTGTTTAAATCTAAATGAGTTTTATTAAATCTGGGTTTCATTTTAACTTGTGTGCTGGGTTTAATTTCAAATCTAATTTTATCAGTATAAGTGAAGTTTATGTAAATGAAGTCAGAATGTATTCACATCACCAGCTCAGTTTTCACTGCACACAGATATTACATCCATTCACATAAACCAGTCTGAGGAAAACAGTGGAAATGGTGACATCTGCTGGCAGAAAGCAGCTCCAGCAGGAGCTACAGAACATGAACGCTGGTGATAACAACTGCTTCAACATTGATTTCTGTGGGAAAAAGCTCCACAGGTTGACTTTATGTGTCTGTAATGTGAAAAATCATAATAAACTACACTTCCTTCATTTGTTTTACAGTAAAAACAAAGATAATATTATTTTACTTACTAATTGTTTTATAAACATGATTAATTAATATGAAGTCTAGAGTTTTGTTTCTTTTGTTCATCATGTAGAAATGAAATATTAAAGCACTGACTTTCCACCAAAATCCAGACAGAATCTGTTTGTAGTCAGTTGCTCAGTATGCATTCATCAGGGGAATTTCTACACAGCAGGAAGTCGTTTTTTTTTTTTTTTGCTTCATCCAAACAAGGTGATGCTTCTGTTTAACTAACATTAACTTTCAGATTGAACTAAGTATTTAATGAATGATCAATATTTAGTAGCTAGCTAGTTAGTGTACTAACATTAACTTTTGGATGCTGATTGGAATTTCTTCACAGGAGCAAGTTATTTATTTATTTATTTTTTTTAATGTCCGTCACGTCAAGCAAACTAGCTTTAAGCTTACATTGTTAAAGAAGTTTTTTTGTATTGATGGGAATTTCTTTCTTCACAATCGGAAGTGGCTTTTTTGGCTACAAGCATCCACACAAGGTTGGCTTGCAATTTACTTATATTAACTTTCATATGGTCCATTGTCAGAAATGGTTTGGAATATAATAGTCATACGTATGTTTTCATTAGTGTATAATCACCTGAAAATAAGAATCCTTGTGTTTTTGTTACCTTAAAATAAGAAGTTTTTATCTACAGCCCTGTTATACAAATCCTAAAATCATATCTTAATAAAAAGGTATTCCCTTGAATTAACCCCAACTCAAAAATTGTTTTAGAAACAACGCTGTTTTAAGTTAACTTAAATATGTGCAGTATTGAAAATATTGGTAATATATTTCCTTTTTTTTTTTAAAAAACTGGATTTTTTCTTTATTGCTGAAATTTAAGCCCCAAAGTCCAAAAAATAATTGGTTATCATTCTGATAACTGATTAATTGTAAATAGTTTTTTAGCTGTAATATTTTTTTTAAGTGAATTCAATGTAGTTATTCCTGCACGCTAGGAAAGCGAGGAATATTCAGGTAGTTCAGTAATCTGCATCTTTCCCACTAGATGGCACTAAATTTTACGGACTGGTACTTTAAGACTCTGTACTGTACTGTACTCTTCCTGCCACAGATTGCCTGCTTTGCCATGTCGAAATGTTTCATGGGGAGAAAAAAAAGAGCCCTGCATGAAACAGACTATCACACAATTATAAACAGTACAGCAGGTATCAATTTAGTGAGTTCAGAAATGTATAAAAGCAATAAAACGTGATTCTAACACACATTCAAGGATGTGATTTGGTGTAAGGTGTTGAGATGGTGATTGAGGCACCAAAGGGTTAACATGTGGACTAATATCATGTGACAGGAAGAACATTGCCCAGTGGGGAGAGAGAGAGGGAGAGAGAGAGAGAGCGTGCCTTTTCCCTCCTCTATTCAAACACAGCGGGCCTTTTTTCACAGCAGCAAGATCCACACCAGGTAAGACACCCAGGTTCTCTCTGTGTATACACTGTATGGTCTTATTAATACCTTTCATAGTCTTACTTCTAGATAAATGTTACTCATCATCTGTAGCACCACGTCCGTAGGAACTTTTACTACTTACTAGGAGTGGAATTTTTATTGTTTACCTCCATAAACAATGTTACGCTATAGTAAACAGAAACCCGTCGAGCACTAGGACCAAGCGGAAAACGGCCGTCTCGTTTAGATCATAGACATATATACATATATATATATATATATATATGTCATATACAGTATATATACAGTATATATATGTATATATGTCTATGGTTTAGACCCGCCCACAAGCTCCTCGATTGGCTCTGCCGGTTCTTGTGTGATTGGCCGTCCCCGCTGTCACTCCATCTT